GGGTGAGGATAGGGTTTAGGGTAAATGGAAGATTCAAAAGAGTTAAGGACTGTCTATAGGACACATTTTAGAGTGTGGCATTAAGATCTAGGGTTTAGGGTTTAGCAATGGACATTTCACAAGGTCCRTAAGTATCGGGTAGACTCAMMACGGAGCAGTCTTACAGCTGAGAGGATCAGATAATTYGGCAGGCAGAGTTAGTACACAAGGAGCACAAATGGCCCACGATGCTCTTGCATAACACAATTATCCGACAGCTTAGCAGCTGCAGCTGAGAGGAGCAGGTCTGGGCTTAGACAGATGGGCAGCCAGAATTMGTACAGGCTAGCGTAGGCAGGGGTGAGAGGGGGTACATCCTTCCTCAGGGAAGTAATCAATGMCGCCCACTCGGGCCTCCCAGCCATAAAGGGGAGGAGCGTGTGTGAGTCCTCTTTGTAATCCATATTGACTTGCCGGGGGAATGGGAACCGGACTGTTGCTCCCCAGAATGGTAGGAGCCAGAACCGAGAGGTTCTGATATTGTCAAAAAAAAAAAAAAAAAAAAAAGGAACTGGACTGACACACCAAAGGATGGCAGCCCTACCAGCGACACATCTTTCAACTGCTGAGACAATATGGACTGTGGACCATTTGGAAGAGGAGATGTCAGGCCACTTTGGAAGGAACACTAATTCATAGGGAGGAAGCTAGGGAGCTGYTCCTCAATGCAGTGGAAACACATCTCTACGCGCAGTGGAAAAAGGTGAGACAGCAAGCAAGACAACAACCTGGTCAAGAGGAGGAAATAATCAAAAATTTAAACAGAATACTTTGGGGCTGGGGAAAGTAGCAGAGCCCAGAGGCGTACAACTTCGCTTCAAATGGAGAGAGGAGGGATGATGATATCAGGGATCAGAAATGGGGTAGGGCTAAAGGAAGGAGAGGAAAATTATCCTCCTCGTTTTGACTGGCTTCCCTCAGTGGCCACGGTAAACATAAAGGATCTGGTTTGAGTTCACCAGTAAGACTTCCCTCGGGGCAAATGGAAGGAAGGAGGCAGCAGAACGTTTGAGGAGGCTGCAGGCGCACGGGAGAGAGTCTGGGGGGAGTCTAAGGTTCTGTTACAAGAAGATTTTCTATGCAGCTGGCAAAAGATCAAGAGTACAGGGACAGACGGCGAAGAGAAGCGGAAGAAGGCTAGAGACAGTTCATCAAAACATGGTGGGCAGGGGGGAGGGCTGCTGAGTTGAGGAATGATCCTATCTGGGGGAAGGAAGGGCACAACTCCGTTTCAAGAAGAAATCTGGATCAGTAAAGCACAGTATCAGAGAATGGAACCCTTGATTCAGTTCCTAACCGAGACAGCACYGCTCTCGGTACACTACTCTTAAAGTTCAGCGGTGGTGACCAGGATTCAAATTGGTAACGCAGGCGAACAAGGGAACCAAAAGGGTCAAAGCAAGGAGTACCWGWGCTACGGGGGAGGCGATCCTTGAATGGGAAYGGCAYTTCGGGGTGCAGTTAAGAAGAACGAGGGTTTATGGTTCAGGGGTTAAGGGTGGCTTAGGCAAAAAG